TTGGACCACACTTGCATTTCAGGGATAAATCCCACTTGTTCATGGTGTATGATCCTTTTAATATGCCATTGAATTCTTTTAGTATTTTGTTGAGGATTTTTTACATCTATGCTCATCAGGGACACTGGCCTGTAAATTTCTTTTCTTGTAGTGTCCTTGGACTTTGATATCAGGGCAAAGTAGGCCTCATAAAATGAGTCTGGGAGTGTTCCTGCCTCTTCAGTTCTTTGGAAGAGTTTGAGAAAGTGTTAATTCCTTAAATGTTTGGTGGAATTCACCAGTGAAGCCATTTGATTCTGGGTTTTTCTCTGTTGGGATTTTTTTTTTTTTTAATTTGAAAGGGAGAGAGCACAAGCAGGGAGTGGAGAGGAGAGGAGAGGGGCCGAGGGAGAGGGATAAGCAGACTCCTTGCTGAGCAGGGAGCCCAATGTGGGGATTGATCCTAGGACCCCGAGATCATGACCTGAGCCAAAGGTAGATGTTTAACCAACTGAGCCACTCAGGCACCCTTGTTGGGAGTTTTTTGATTACTGATTCAATCTCTTGCTTGTTACTGATCTATTCAGATTTTCTATTTCTTCTTCATTCAGTCTTGGTAAGTTGCATGTTTCTAGAAATTTATCCATTTTTTCAAAGTTATCCAATTTTTAGTGTAGAATTGTTCATAGAAGTCTCTTATGACCCCTTGTATTTATTTGGTATCATTTGTAATGTCTCCTCTTCCATTTCTGATTTTATTTATTTGAGTCCTCTCTTTTTTTCTTAGTCTAACTAAAGGTTTGTCAATTCTGTTTATCTTTTCAATAAAACAACTCTCGGTTTCGTTTATCTTTTCCATTGTTTTTCCAGTCTCTTTTCTTTATTTCTGCTCTGACCTTTGTTATTTCCTTCCTTCTGCTAACTTCTGGCTTAGTTTGTTCTTCTTTTTCTAGTTCCTTGAGGTATAAAGTTAGGTTGTTTATTTGAGATCTTCCTTTCTTCTGAACGTAGGCACTTATCACTATAAGCTTCCCTTTTAGAACTGCTTTCACTGCATCTCATAAGTTTTGGTATGCTGTTTTACTATTTTTATTTCTCTCAAGATATTTTCTGATTCCCCTTCTGATTTCTTCATTGATCCACTGGTTGTTCGGGAGCGTGTGGTTGAATGTCCACACATTTGTGAACTTTCCAGTTTTCTTAGCTTCATACCATTGTGGTTGGGAAAGATCTTTGATATAATTTCAATCTTCTTAAATTTGCTAAGACTTGTTTTATGATCTTTCCTGGAGAATGTTCCATGTGTACTTGAGAAGAATGTGTATTCTGCTGCAGTTGGATGCAAAGTTCTGTATATCTTTTAGGTCCACTTGGTCTAAAATGTAGTTCAAATCCAATGTTTCCTTATTGGAAACATTTCCTTATTTTGTTTCCTTAAATGTTTGTTTGTAAATGTTTAAATGTTTGTAAATGTTTCCTTATTCCTTCTTTTGTGTCTGAACAATCTATCCATTATTGAAACTGGAGTACTGAATGCCCATAAGAATAAATTTCTTATCACTTTAGCATTTTGTCAGTCTTCTGTGAACTCTCTCCAATTTTCTCCACATCATTTCCAAGCCCAGGGAGTAACATGCAATCTGAATTACAATGTAGACAAAGTACATATGGCTTTTAAAAGTCTCTGGGGGTTCTATTTCAGTTAATAGCAAACAAGGTAATTTGAATCATCATTTCCACTGAAAACAACTAGAAAATCTGGGCAAAATAAACCACAAAATCGTCTGCTTAATGGTATCAGAATGCTGCCATGGCAGCAAAGAGGGCCAGAATCTGGAGGAAGAAGCCCAAGAGGTGAGTCTGGCATTTGGTGAGCCACATTTCCCCAAAGGCACCTGAGAAGTTGGGCAGAACATCTGTTAGACTCACAAAGATAGAGTAAATCTTTTTTTAAAAAAAAATCTTATTTATTTATTCATAAGAGACACAGAGAGAGGCAGAGACATAGGTTGAAGGAGAAGCAGACTCCCTGTGGGGAGCCTGATGTGGGACTTGATCCCAGGACCCTGGGCCATGACCTGAGCCAAAGGCAGATGCTCAACCACTGAGCTACCCAGGCACCCCTTGAGGATTTTTTTTCAATCTAATGCATGACAAAATTAGCTTCTTCTATTAGCTTTCTTGATTACTATGTATTTTTTAGTAATTTGTTTTTTCTCTTTCTGTTAATTGCCTATTAATTTTAAAATATTTTGTGAACCTTTCTATTATAGAATTTTATAAGTTCTCTGTACATGATAGATATTAGTCTCATATGAACATAGCAAATATTTTATCTGGTCTTCAGGCTTCGTTAATGCTGCCTTCTGTCATCCCAAAACTATTATTTACATAGTAAAGTTTACCTCCCCCTCCAAGCCTTTGATTTTTGATTAAAAGGATGTTATTAATGAAGTTTTAAATTGTGGCCTGTATTTTCTTTGAAATTTTCTATAAGTTCATAACATCATCTGCTTTTCCCAGTAGAATAGGATTTCTCAACTTTGGGGATAACAGAAGAGAATATGAAATTTTCTGTTAACAGATACTTTCTCTTTACACGTATATGTTGCTGTAGAAGATAGAGTGAATCTGATGAAAACTGGAGTCCCATCCTTCTGAAGAAGATGGTATGTAAACACCTTAGGCTCTACTTTAGAATCCTAGAAAAAAAACCACAACAGAAAACAGACTAATCTTCACAGGAAATGACTCCCAGCTTCAAGTCACCCTCATTCCTGATTGGGTTATGGTGACCTGGAATTGCTAATGCCCCTAGCCTAGCCACTGACCAGAAACAAGTTAATTAGCTCTGAAGGACAATAGCCTCAGCCAGAGCATCTCAAATGATCTCTACACTTTTCCACTACCCATGTCCATCACTCAGTAAAAAAAAATAGATGCACAGAAGATAAATAATAAAGTTTCTAGAAGATAAGAGGAAACTGGCTTCATGAGTTTGGAATAGACAAAGATTTTTATAAGAGGACACAAAACTACTATCCAGAAAAGATCAATAAATTGGATTAAGACCTTTTGTTTATCAAGAGATTCTATGTAAAAGTGAAAAGGCAAGTCACAAGGAGAGATGATATTTTTATCACATATAATTAGCAAAATACTCATATAGCCAGAATACCTAATGAATGCTTACAAAACAGTAAAGGCAGACAACCCAATTGAAAAATGGGCAAGAGGGCAGCTCGGGTGGTCAGTGGTTTAGCGCTGCCTTCGGCCCAGGGAGTGATCCTGGAGACCTAGGATTGAGTCTCGTGTCAGGCTCCCTGCATGGAGCCTGCTTCTCCCTCTGCCTGTGTCTCTACCTCTCTCTCTCTCTGTGTCTCTCATGAATAAATAAATAAAACATTTAAAAAAAGAAAAGAAAAATGGGCAAGAGACTTGAACAGGTACTTCATAAAGAAACATACCAATGGCCAGTAAATATATGGAAAGATGCTCAACCTTATCAGTCATCAGATAAGTGCAAATTAAAACCACAATAAAATACCACTATAAACCCAATAGAATGGCTACAATACAGAAGACTGGCAACACCAATGGTCAGTGATGATGTACAGCAACCAGAATTGTCATACACTAAAGGTGTGCATAAAGTGGTACCACCATTTTGTAAAACTGTTTGGCACTACCTTCTAAAGTTGAATCTATGCATGTCCTATGACCCAGCAATTTCATTCCTGGGTATATTCCCAACAAAATGTATATACACACGCACCAAAAGACACATACAAAAATGTCATACTAGCTCCAAATTAGAAACAATCTACATGTTCATCAACAATGATAATTAAATTATAGTATATTCACATTTTTTAAAGATTTATTTATTTATGATAGACATAGAGAGAGAGAGAGAGAGAGAGAGGCAGAGACACAGGAGGAGGGAGAAGCAGGCTCCATGCCGGGAGCCCGATGTGGGACTCGATCCCGGGACTCCAGGATCGTGCCCTGGACCAAAGGCAGGCGCTAAAGCAGTGAGCCACCCAGAGAGCCCTATGGTATATTCACATAATGAAATATTATACAGCAATGAAAATGGATGAACTAGAACTACACATGGCAACATGGATGTGTCACACAAATGATGTCAAGCCATAAACCAGACACTAAAAAATATATATTCTGTAGTCCCATTCACACAAAGTTCAAAAAACAGGTAAAATTACTAGGTGTTGCTAGAGGTCAGGAGTTTGGTTACATCTAGGGAGAAGGGGTAGTAACTGGGTTATGGCATGAGAAGAACTGAATACTTTGGTTTTTTACCTTCTTGGTATTCAATGAGTATGTTTATTTTGTGATAATTCATTGAGCATCTAAGATTTGTGTACTTTTCTATATTTATCTTACACTTTAATAAAATTTTTTTAACATTTTTAAAGTTTCCAAAGACTGTATATGAACTACCTACCCATTTGATCACTATATCAACTTAAATTATGGAAGTTTAACTTTTCGATTTTTAATTTTCACCTGAGAACAAGTGAATCTACTAGAACAGAGTCTGTTCTGCATGTGGCCCAGTTAAGGCATAGATCAGACTTGTCCAGACTTGGTTAGGCCAATAGGAATTATCTTGGTTAGGCCATATTGAATTATCAATATGAATTAACTGTTCAAGTTCTACTACCCTTCCTGACCATAGTATGGTTCATTGTGTAATTTTAACTAATTCACCTACACAGACTTATTTCCCTTGGACATACAGTTCTGAAGAGCCACATTGAATCTAGCAAGCTGTGGGTTAGCTACCCTAATAATGTACAAACATTACTCTTGGCCAAAGAGATGCTTTCCAGGACTACCTGTGGTTGAATAACCTTGCATGTGGACCAAGAGAGGACTGACTATCCCTGTACCAAGCACACATCTTTACTTACTTACCAGAAGTTGTTCACTGACAACTCAACAAGAGAATTTCATCATCAATGTTTCACAAATATAAGGAAGCCACTAAAGGATACTTATGGTCAAAGCTGTACCACAGCCGGAAGAGCCACGCACTCTCCTGCTTTGTCCGGTTTCCTCTGGCAGAATCTGGTCCATCCTAGGAACAAACAAGAAGACAGATGCTTAGTTGCAGTAAAGGGATTGAAATGGGGTGTGTAGGGAGGGGAGAGAAGCTTCTTTTTTAACCATAACTTTTAGAGATTTAGAGCTCAGAGACATACATCCTGTATCACTAAAGTTGCAGATATACTGGGAGGTAATATCTTGAGAGAAAGTGGATAAATCCAAAAGGCAGACAAATCAACCCCCAAGGTAAAAAGCCTGGGATACATCTGTGGGCAGCTCAACTCAGTGCAGTACAAAATTTCTTTTGGCATTCTTATTGTAAGTTTCCTCAAAGTGCCTTTTAGTAGATTAATTACACTAACATAGTACAGATCCTAACAGGCCAAAACTAATCTATAGGGAATATTAAAGAGAGCTTCCATAAAACCAGTTTTCCAGGCCTCCCCAAAGCTGGCCTGGGGAAGTCATGCTTGGTCATTCCCTGACGATCCGCCTAGGATTCTTGATGGCCCTTACTAAGGCACCTACATTGCATTCCAGGTGGTACGGCAACTTGACACCCTGGGAGCTTTAGTAAGATGGGGGCAGTGAGCAGGGAAAATGGGGCCAGAACTAGCATTTCTGTTATTTTAAAGATTTAATTAATGAGAGAGACAGAGACAGAGGGCATGAGCACATATGAGCAGGAGGGGCGGGGGGGGGGAGAATCTCAAGCAGACTCCACGCTGAACGCAGAGCCCAATGTGGGGCTTGATCTCACGACCCTGAGATTAGGACTTGAGCTGCCCAGCCCACTGTGCTACCCAGGTGCCCCGCATTTCTGGTATTTTAGCTGCCCTCAAGTGGTTACTCCTCTCATCCCTTTCCAACTCAAATGTCCCTGTCATTTAATTTGCAAAATGACTTGCAAAATCGAACATTCATTTGAGGCTTGGGAAATAGGCTCTGTACAAATATTGTAAGCAGCACAGTTAATATTAAAGAGTGGACTGGCTGTGGTGATTGAAGGGCACTGTTGGAATTCTGAGTTGTTGGGTGACCAGCTCCGAAAGTACAGACTGCTTGGGAAGCACAAGCAGTTGCCTCTCCCTTGAATGCTCCAGGAAGAGGCAGCTCTGCAAGTGAGGTGCCACTGACAAGAGCCAAATGCAAAATGAGCCACTATTACAAGGAGTTCTACATTGCAGTGGGCGTTCGCTCCATCTGTAACTGAGATAGCATGGATCCATCAGAGATCTCTGAAAGGCTTGAGTGTAGGAACAAGTAATGGGAGGGAAATTAGCAAGCACTGTTTCAATTTCTCATGTTTCCAATAACAAAGGTTATTTTTAAAAACAGAGTCCCTATGGTATCTGAAGAATGTTTAGTGACAGATGCAGACATGGCTTGTTTAAATGGGCCCTTCTATGGATGAGGAAATTAAAAAAAAAGAGAATAGAGAGAGAGAAAGAGTTCCCAGGGACCAACTGTATTTCGCATTTTTAGAAATCGTGTGGAAGAAAGAAGGCACAGAAATGTCTCTATTTGCAGGTCATGATCACTCCTTCAGGTAATCAATTGCTGGCCTAATGACAATGCGAGGGGGGTTTCCGAATGCCCCACAACTGAGTGTTAAAGTCACAGGTGAGCATTCTGAGGGGCAGATACCTTCATGGAAAAATTAAATGGTTCATTATAAAGGGATAGGCTCTAAGCTCGTGGTTCTAAGTGCCCATAGAAGCTTATTAAAGAAAAAACTACCCTGGTGACATACATCGTCAAGAAGGATACTATAAATCACCAGGCACAAGACAGGTACCCCCCCCATGTCAGTTGCATCTGCTCCTCCCCTAAAACAAGAAAAATGACCAACCCCAACCCTGTCATCCTAACCTCTGCCAAACCACAAGGCACTATCATCACCTGGGATAGTTTAGGCCCTGCCACCTCACCTCTATAGGAGACTTAGATAAGCCCCAAGAAGGACCATTACAATGCATAAAGCAAAGGAAACGTTTCTTTTCTTTTTTTTTTAAAGATTTTATTTATTTATTCGTGAGAGACACAGAGAGAGAGGCAGAGACACAGGCAGAGAGAGAAGCAGGCTCCCCATGGGGAGCCCGATGTGGGACTCCATCCCAGGACCCTGGGATCATGACCTGAGCCGAAGGCAGAGGCTCAACCTCTGAGCCACCCAGGTGCCCCAAAAGGCTTCTTTTCAAAGGCAAACAAAAGGTCTTCACAGGCGACCAAGGGCCATGCCTGCAGGCCATAAATAAGATAAAGGGAAATATAAGAGGCTGCAAGATGATGCCAATGCTGAAAGGTCACCAGGGATAAATTTGGAGCAAATAAAAAGTGCAGCTTCACAACGGGGATGTTAAGCAACTTCTTATTTTATGAGATGGTGCCAGAAGTACGACTAGGTATAAGAAAAACAGAGATAAATCCACATATGGGGACTCTGGAGAAATGAGGGAGGGGCTGTGGAATGGGACTCATTGGGTTTCATTTATTAAGCTGACCCAGAAGAGGAAGATAACCAACAGCTGCTTCCCAAAGGGATTTGGGCCCCTTTCCTGCTCTGAGCAGTATAGGGCTGAGCAGGGGTCAGTGTGGGGGCAGGCTGATCCTACAAGACACAGCCCCCTTCCCAGGCTCACGTGCAGACCCTTGGATTTCCATTCAGGTGCTGCCCACATTAAAAGCTGGGACCTGTTCTCTCACCACACTCCTCCCTGAAACCTGCATTCCCACAGGAGGGCTTACACCCCATGTCTTCAGCTCAGGGCTTTTAGAACTTGGAACAGCCTTTCCAACGGTAGCTTTCTCCCACCTACAACACCTACCTGGCTGATCCGTATTCATTTTTTGAGGCTGGATACAAGAGAAGGTTGGCTTCTCTGAGAAATGTTTCAAAGGCAACAGAGCATGCCAAGAGGTACAGGTATGACTATCACAGGCTTTGTCAACAAACTATGTGGGTCTCAATCCTTACTCTACTCCTAGCTGTGCCATTGTCTTGCTGTATGACCCTGGGCAGGTTTAAATTGAGATCTAACTGACATATAACATTGTGTCAGTTTAAAGTGTACAGTGTGTTGGTTTGATACATTTACTGACTACAGTATGATTACCATGGTAGCATGAGCTACTATCTATATCCTGTCACATAGTTATCATTTCTTTTTTTTGGTGAGAACAATTAAGACCTACTATAGTAGCAACTTTGTAGTTTATAATAAGAGTATTGTTGACTATATTCACTTTGGTGTGCACTAGCTCTCCAGAACTTATTTATCTATTAGCTGCTTAAACATCTCCCGAATTCTCCTACCCCTTAGCTCCTATCCCCATTTTTCGAGGATATCACAATGAGTGTATTTATTTTTTGTATTCACTAGGCATCTACTGTGTGCCAGGCACCATGCTGGGTGCTGGAAACACAAAGGGGCATGAGACTAGCACTTGCCCCCCCAAGGAGCCTGTTTCCAGAGGGGAGGACACACGGACAGACATATATGGTGACAAATGTGATGAAGTAAAAGAAAGCAAATTTAAGAACTGAGGAGTGACAAAAGGTCCTATTTTTGAAATCTTTTTGCTAGAACTAATAAATAATGATTTCTGGGCAGAGTTATTATTTCATTCCATTCTTATTGTTAAAAGAAATTTTCAAAGCTAAAATTTCATTACAGTACTGACAACAGCTTATGTTTTTTTTTTTTTTTTTCCAGAGATGGAGCAAAACACTTGCCTTCCCCACACCACAAAGATTTCTCTGACCTAATCCCAGGAGCCTGATGTTACATGACATGGCAAAAGGCGTTTTGTAGATGGACTTAAGGTTTTCCAGGAGGGCTGCTGCAATTGCACAGGTCCTTAAAAGTAGATGAAGAGGGTAAAAGAGTTGCAGTGGAAGAAGAGGCAGGAAAGATTCAACATGTGACAGGGACTTGCCCCACTGTTGCTCACTTTGAAGATAGAGGGAGTCCACAAACCAAGAAATAGCAGGTGCTTCTAGGAGGTGAGCTTGACCCTGGGCCAAGGGTCAGCAAGGAAACAGGACTTCAGTCCTACAGCTATATAACTGAATGCTAGCAACAACTTGAATGAGCCTGGCAATGGGTTGGTTCTCCCCCAGAGCCCAACCCCACCAACACCTTGATTTTGGCCTTAAAACAAAGAAACCAGCGGAGCCCACCAAACTTTTAACCTACAGAATGTAAGACTGGTGTTTGAAGTTACTGAGTGGGTGGGAGTTTGTTACAGTGGCCCTAGAAATCTAATGCAGAGCAAAAGAACAAATAAGTGATGTGACCTATTTTGTGCCCTTTTCTTGTCCCTGGGATGGTGGAGCCTACAACTCTCACAAGGGAGTAATAGGTTTTGAAAACAGGGAATCAAGAGCTCTGCAATGCCTACTCCAGGGCTTCTCAAATTGTGAATGGGCACATGACCCTCCTGGGAACCCCTTTAAAATGTGAGTTCAGAGTGGGTGGGTCTGGGTGAGGCCCAACAGTCTGCATTTTTATAAGCTCTCTGGTAAGGCCCAGGCTGCTGGTCCATGGGGACACTCAGAGCTGAGGGGCAAGGCCAGGTCTATTGACCTCACCTCTGGCACTCTCTGCCCTTATCTGTACCCTTCATTGCACTGTCACCACAGCCTTAAGGATGTGGTGTCTTGCTTGCAGATGTATTCCCAGAGCCCAAAAGATTGTCTGAAATATAATAGGTGCTCAGTAAGCCTTTGTCAAATGAATGAATAAATTAATGTGAATTTTGTACTTCTAAGAAAAAAAATAGCCAAAAGGGAAGTCAGGGACCAAGGTGAGGGGGTGGCAAGCAGAAAAACAAAAAGAAAAGCATCCTAGTGGAATTTAAGAAAAGGCCCTTCAGCAACTGTTTGAAGTTAAAGATTTAAGTGACTGCGTATCAGGTTTCAGCCTAGAGTAAAACTGGGGAAGGACTAGAAAGTTGTAAGTCAATGCGACTATAAAGAGCTGATTTTCTGCATGCACGTGTGTGGTGCTTGCCAGGCGCGCCTGTGCACACATACACTACAAGCACAATGTTTTCGTCTCCTCCACATTCTATTAATATCCTGCTTCTGACTCCGTCCTGCTGAGATGATAAAGCCAGGATAAATTCAGATTTGTGCTCCTAGCTACTCCAAAGCAGCCTCATCAATGAGTGCTCTTCTGTAAACTTGGGGAAGGAAGTGAATATCTCTGTCTGGCACAAAAAAGTCCCCCTTGAATGGGGTGGGAGGCTACCCCCAAGCCGAGGCAGCTTGCCTTCAGCTGGGGTTGTTTTTGTTTTGGTTGCAAAGTCACCAAGATCTCCAGAGAAACAAAGCAACTGAGTTTTTTTTTGTTTTGTTTTGTTCTAATGAGTCAAACTTGCCAGGGACATGAAGCTGAAGTCTGCCCACAATATTCTTATGCTTCCCTCTCATAAAACCAGAAGTTCTAGCCAAAAGCTCCTTTCCTTCTTCCACATGAGCTAATATTCTGCAGCTCTGTAGCCATAACTCTTGGGCTTCTAGAACCAGTGAGGAACAATCCTGCTGTCATGAGAAATTCATTCCCTTCAAATGTCACTTTCCTATTTATTTTTAGGAAGATCATTTAGAAAATGAGGTAAAGAGAACTGGCCTTTCTTCTCTGCTGGGGAACAAACATCTGGACTTTCCCCACTTATGATTTCAGTTTCATGACATCACTGAGCGTGTGACCTGGATCCATTTCAGGGGAAACTGCAAGAACCCAGGATTTTACCCAAAAAATTGAGAAGCCCATTTACTTCTCTGTTTTATTGTTGCTCCTGACCACTGAGTGCCTCCAGCTCTGCTGTTAGTGGCTCACTGGACTGAGGAAGTCAGGCCAGGAGGACTAAGAGACATAAGGCCCTTTAAGTACAAGGGCAGGAGTCATTTGTAAGAAGGTGCCCTGGAAAACCAAGCTTGAAGTTTGTCTTTTTTCTTTTTTTCAATCTGACAGCAATCTTGAAAGACTTTAAAAATACCAGTGGAACTGATTCTGAGGGCCCACTGCATGACTGAGTGTGAGCCTTGGAAGGAGGTAGGTTAAGGGAAGCTGTGACACCAGCTCCCGGCTAGGGCCGGCCGCTGGGTGCCACTGGGAGTGCTGCAGAAGTCGCCACCACCTGCCTATTCACAACTGGGCCAAAGGGCCGTCCAGGGAGCCATCAGGAACACTGATGACCACCCCTCAGACAGGGAGCGCTATCTTAGCTGTCACCACCGAGGCTAAAGGCACTGCCAGAACGCTTAGCACTAACGTAGGACCTGCTGCTTTCTCAAACATTTCCATGGACCAGTGACAACAAGCTTGTGACCGAGTCTTGTTACAAGCCCAGTGTCTCCATGTGAAGTTCTCATGAGATGTATAGTGAGTTTGGCTACGTGAAAGCAACCAAACCACTTCATGCCTTTCCTTTTACAGATGCTTAAATCCAGAGGCAGGAGCAATTGAAAACAACAACAACAACAACAACAATAACAGCCAGCAGCAAAAGGGCTGGAGGGTGTTTGGCCTGGAACTGACAAGATGAAATCTGTCCAAACCCTGGCTATCCAGCTGGAATTAGCCTGTTTTTCTTACAAAATTCATCTGGACCAGCTGCAGTCCTGGGGAGGAAGCTTTGGAATAGGGCAGTCATATCTTCCTACCAGAGCCATTATTTTCCTTTCAGTGAAATAAAGACACTTCACCCAGGTTTTCTCAGGGTGAGTTTCAAGATCCTCCATTATACTTTAAATTAGCTTCCAGGTGCACAGTTCTGAACTCTCGGTTTCTAAACTCCTTGATCCAAGCTAGAGTGCAATGGCAACTTTTCAAAAAGAATTTCTCATTGAAACCACAAGTTCCCAACACAGTGGCCGCTTCTAATATAATCTCAAAGGTCTTCTGGGGCACCATTATTCCTGTTTTAATATTTTCTTTTTAAGTAATCTCTACAACCAGCGTGGGGCCTGAACTCAACCCTGAGATGGAGTCCCATGCTCTTCGACTGAGCCAGCCAGGCGTCCCTCTGGAGTACCATTAAAGAGGGCATCATATCGTCTCCAATAAAGCTCACTGGAAACTTTTCCTCAGATGTCCAGCTCTTTCAGAGGTCATGGCTTTGTGTTCCTTAAGGGGCATTACCACCAAGATGGGATCCCCCTCAAAGAGAAAGAAATCAGAAAAAGCTGTAGGTGGCACTCCCTGGCCCTGCATCGTACCACATTTTGGGACACTTGTTAGGTCTGATTTGGGGACTAGAGTAATTTAGAAGGTCCTCTGGAATTTGAAGTATGTAGACTGGATTTAGGGTTGAGTGCGGTTCAAAGCTGATTGGAAAAAAAGAGACCCCCAACACAGTTTCCTGGACAACGCATGTGTGAGGTCAGTAAAGCTTTCCTCTGCACTGGGGCTCTCTTGTCGCCCCCTGCCCTGCCCCCCGCATCTCCCTATCAAATACCAATCGAGTGCCCCCAGGTGCCAGGCACTGCGCTCAGCACTGGGGAGTCAATCCTGCACAAAACAGTTCTTGACTCCTGAGGCCAATTAGTGACATTTGGGTAACGGATTGCTGCTCTTAACATAACCTTTTGTTCCTCTAGTCTGCCTGCCCACAGGATGTCTGCCTTGGGAAGGAGCAAACCTGGAGACACAGGGTGATGTGGCGGCTCAAAACCATGTCTGCCACTTCACTGATGCTCCCATAAAGAGCTTATGGTCTCTCTCCCCTCCCATCGAATCTGGTCTGGCTTGAGGAACTCATTGTGACCACCAGGAAGTAACAGAGGTGATGCCGGGAGACTTTCAAGGCTAGGTCAGAAACGGTGATGCGGCTTCCACCTTGCTTGCTGGGATGGAACCCTGAGTCATTGTGTAAGAAGTCCAGTAATCCCTAGGCCATGTGGGGGAGCCATGTGTAGGCATTCCAGTCAGCTGTCCTAGTCTTTGGGTCCTCCCAGCTCAGGTGCCAGTCATATGAGTGTATGAGTCTTTGGATGACTCCAGCCGCCAGCTCTCTCCTTGGAGCAAAGGCGAGCTGCCTCTATTATGCCTTTTCCAAATTCCTGACGAAGAGAATCCATGAGTAAAAGAAATTGTTGCTCACTTTCCTATGTTTGGTGCAGTTTTGTTATGCAGCAACTGTAACTGGAACAGATGGCAAAACCACTCTATCAGGAGTCTCTGCAGCAGCAGGGAGTCATCCCTGCTTGTCATACTCGAGGCTGCCATGGGGCTGCTCTGATCCCAGCCTGTACAGCTTCCCTCCCTGGCACACTGTTCCAGGCTGTCACTGCTCACCACCCTGCCTAAGCCTTAGCTGTTAGCCTTGCTGTGACCTTCAGCCCTTGGGGGTGGGGGTGGCGGTGGGGGTGAGGGCTGCTGCTCTGACATTGCTGGGCTTGAGGGGAACTCAGTTGTAAAGGATCCCAGGCTCTGGAGGAAGGGGAGGGGCTCTAATCACCCACATCCTTCCTCTCTTCCTCAGATTCTGGGCTAGAGAGTCAGACCCCATCCCCACTTCCCCCTACCCGGGCACCACTGACAGACTCTGACCCAGTGACAGTGAGCCAGTCGCCAATGTATCTGATATATCCATTCTTGGAAGGCAGGCAGTCAGGGACTTAGCTTGAATACTCTTCCTGGCCAGCCTACCCCCTCAATATGTTGTTTAAGAACACCAGCTCTGGGGTCAAACCCTGGCTTCAGAACCTTCTAATTCTCTGACTGCAGATGGCTCACTTAGACTCTCAAACTTCAGCTTCTCATCTGTCAAATGGCGGTAACAGTACCTACCCCATAAGGTTGCTGTCAAACTCACAGTGAGGGAATCCACGTAAAGATGTTTGGTCTATAGCAAATACTCAATAAATTTTAGCTACTTTTAAAAATGTCTTCCCCTGGAAGAAGCACCTCTTGTGACTTACCCCTTGTAAGACTTGAAAGCTGTCATTGTTGGGTGGTGGGTCTTGATCTGGGTCGACGCCAACTCTGTAAGTCACCAGGGAGAAAGACAAGGAGAAAAATGGAGAGTATTAGCTTGGACCATGGCAACCATGCTGGCTGAAAGTAGCCAAAAAGCTGACCATCTTCCAGAAGCAGAAGGAGTAGTTAGCTAAAAGAGGAGGAAGGCTGTCATGCAAAAGTCGTGAGAAAGAGGTCATGTACCATGTCAGATCCCAGGGGCAGGAGAGGCAAGTAGTACTGTGTGCTTACACCCTATGCAAGCCCACTTGGGAGTGGCACTGGCTGGCAACTGTCCCTCTGCCTTCCTGCACCAAATGGTCCCAGTTATCCAAACTGGGGTCTTACTGCCCCATACCATTTCCTTTCTCCTGCTTCCTCACATCTGCCCTGACCTCCTTTTAATTCCCTAAACTTCTGATATGCAATTTTTCACATATCCAGGGCAGTGCCAGAAGAATTTATAGTGAACACCTGTATACCCACCACCTAGACTCTACCATTGGCATCTTGCTAGAGTTTGTTTACCACGTATCTATCCATATCTCTATCATCCATCTTATTCTTTAGATGCATCCAAATAAAAGTTGCAGACATCAGCACATGTCCCCTGAATACTTGAGCATGCATATCATTCATGTTTTCTCCAGGTAGCCCCATGTCCTCCTGCAACAGAGGTGACTTGAGAGGTGGCATGTTTAAGATCAACAACTAAAGGCAGAAAGAAAAAGCAAAGTGGCAGAATCCACTTGCAACAAATCCCACACTTTTGTTAGGGTAGTTGTCTTGACTTAGTAACACACCAGCTGTTGTTTTGTGCATCTGTTAATTCTCTCTGCCTGTACCCTCTTCACTCTGAGGTGGAGAACTGTGACATCGATCACAGGGTGATGGGGGAGAGAACAAAGAGGCCAGGAAAATTCTCTGTCTTCTCACACTCCCTCCACTGTTGCAAAGAACTGGAAACTGAGATCTCAGTTTTTGGCAGGTCTGCCTTGAGCTTGAAGGGAGGCACCGACTGGCCTCAACCAACAGTCCAGTACCAGGGTGCTGATTCCAAAGAGTGGTCCACAGACACAAAACCCCACGTGTGTGCATCCTACTTTTTTTCCTCTCCTTCCCTCTTTCCCACTTATGATGCCCAGGTCATTTCTTGAGAAGAGAGACTAGTAGAAAAGGTAAACAGTAAAGAACACAGATGTGCCTACCCTTTCAAAGCCAATCTCTACCCTGTCTTATTCCAGGTTCGTCAAGCACTGACCCAAGGTGTGTGTGCCCCTGAAAGGAACTATGGAAGGAGAGGGAATGGATGTCCTGTATTTTGCTGAAGGCAAAGTTTAAAACCACAAGATGAATCCATGTATTCATCAGATATTTATTGGATGCTTATTATGGCAGGCACTGTTCTAATGAAAATCTAGTGTACCAGACACCAGATTTCCTCCCTATGGCCCTGGAGTTTGATAGGATCTTTGTAGCGAGTTGGATGGACTTTGCTACATGTCTAGGGGCTGCTTCCAGGCTGGAGGAGATTCTGAGGGTTGGAGACTTGTCCTCGTAACTAGACATTATCCGAGGACCTTTAAGCAACAAATCTCATAGAGGTTTTCTGACACAAAATCCATCCAATTCAGGGGCCTCAGGGCTGCCCCTAAAAGTCACACCAGAGCCTCAATGCACCTGATGTGTCTAATGTATCAAAATGTGAGAGGAGTGGTCACATATGGAATTCCTAGCTCTTGATTTTGAGCCTTCATCTGTTTTAGAGATGCTTAACACACATTCCACAGAGAAAAGTCCTCCATGTGGTAGTTTTGTCAGCATTTGTAGGATCAACAGCTAGGAATCCAACATTAGGCCTTATTCTGTGGATTCTATAGCAGCACAAAACCCCTTCATGGCAGACTAACTTACTTAGCTGAGCTCCCCGGTACAGACTCAGAGAGGCAGAGCACCGGTTACCCTGGTGTTTCTCAGATAGCCTACCAGAATGCCAGGTGACACAGCAGCCCTCAATCTAACCATAAGGCCTGACCATATAGTAGGGAAGAAGTAATGAGTTTATGTTATCTGAAGGGCATGAGGCACAATATGGCCAAGAATATGGCAGTCCAGATCTGCCACTAATAATCTCTTCTTTCTATACTGTGAATTTTGAAATAGGTGTCATTAGCTTTCATAAATGGCTTCCACATCAGCAAAGATAAAGCAAATTGACTTTACTGGTCTAGATGAAATAGGAAGACTATGGGTAGGACAAAAGTTTAAGTATGCCCTGTATTACAATAATGAAAGTAAAGCCAAATATAATAAAAGCTGCCAAATGAAATTTATCCCCCTCTATTCTTTTAACTGATCTCTATTAAGAGAGAAAAAAAGACTTGTTTAACAAGAATTCAATTCTGTTCGACAAGAACTGCTTATGAAGACTAGGCTGTGACTATTTTCATGCAAGTCCTGGCAATGTCAGTGGAACTCCTCTATTTTCCTTGGGCCCATGTGGCCAGGCCAGAATTCAAAACAACAAATATAAAACGTTGAAATAACTTCATCAATTCACCAAAGCAGGGCCACCTTAACTTCATCTCAAACTCATAATGTTCAGCATTTTGTTTGGGGGAACTTGGGAGTAAGTCTAGATCCACACTATCCAGTAGAACTTTCTGCAACCATGGCAGTGGGCTAGATCTGCGCTGTCCAGTGTGCCAGCCAAGAGCCACATGTGGCCAGACACTGAGTTGAAATGTGGCTAATACGACTAAGGAAGTGCATTTTTACATTTCATTTGGTTTCACACCAAGTGAGAAAATAAAGCAGTCAAACTAATGTGCTCATTCTGGAATGAATAAATCTGGAAAGAACATGAATAATTTCCCTTCTAGTATGATAATAAGTACATTCTGATTAGCTGCCTCCAAAATGCCATTGAAATCTCAGGAATTTTAGGAGTGTTCTACATTAACCGATAATTTTTGCAAAAACGTGAATGGCTGAAGCCCTAAATAATTTGAGGACTATGAGACACACACCTTCATGTAAAACCTTGGACACCAGGTCACAGTCTGAATTCTCACATATCCCCAGGGTAATAACTTGTCCTTTGCCCACAGGACCTTCCTTCCTGAAGGTAGGATATTTCAAAAGAAAGGGTCTCCTCTGCTACTTATCTGCTACCTACAGTCAGGCCTCCAAAAAGTGAATGTGTGTGTGTATTTTAAACAGTAGAAAAAAAAGTGTAAACCCAGGGAACTTAACAGTTTCCATTACTTATATGCACATCATTACAGTCCATCTGGAGCCTGGTGATAGTGCAACGTTCAAACCCGATGATAAGCATCGTTGTTCTCTCCACTGCCCTCAGAGAGTGACGTACTTTCACAGTGGCAAGAACAGAGCTCAAGCCTATTCTGCATTGATTTATCTACCAGCACTGAGAATCAGATCAGAAATAATGCATGCTGATATAGACACAGGAAGGAAAAAAGAAACATTAAACTCTTCGCTCTGCTTACCCAATGTCGCCGCTCTTAAGCATAATCCAATCATAAACTTGGATGGACACTGAGAGACAAACTGCATTAGAAGAGACTTTATCTTCTGTTTTTTTTTTTTAAACGCTGTTTTTGTACCTTCTGATTGACCATGAGGTATGAGTACACAAACACATACTTAAAAAACTCAAATAGCATTGGTACTTAATTAAGATGATATAAGCCATACCCTAGTCATGGCTGAAATATAAAATTCTAGTTTTCTTTATGAATTAATTAAAAGCCTTGTTTACTAGATCATAAACAAGGCTTTGTGGAAAAAGTATCTGTGGCTCTGAAAATGGACTGCTCTCGACACTAAGCTCAGTTGTATAAGAAAGGAGACACTTGCCAACTTCGGCTTTGGTGTTGACACACATTGTCCAATATTCAGGGAAAGAGAACAGAATGTCAGGGACACTGACACATCCATCAACCCAGAGAAAGGGTGGAAAAGGGATTAGACTTGACCTGACCTCTTGCCCCTTTGCTAAAAGGGGCAGGGGGTTGGTGCACACAGGAAGCAAGAAAGGGACAAAACAGCATAAAGAGAAACATCTCAGGTTAGAAGGAGGAGAAGAGCCAGGCCCGGTTAATTTGTTCCTGAGGATGCCCTTGTGTCACCTGAAGTACTGCCAGCGGTGTTCGTTCTGGTCCTCTTCGGAGGGCTCCTCGACGCCAACTCTGGGCAGCAGAAGAAGGGAACGTGAGTATTATGGGGACAACAGGGGAGCCAGGAGCTCTGGGCACAGGACCTGGACCATGTCCATCAAAGAATAGGCTGGCTCACTCTGAATATAAATCCGTATCCTCTTATACTGTCCCCATTCTCTAAAACCCAGAGAGTAGAACTGCTGCTAAATTCAAACTTAAAGCAACAGTATTAGGAGCTAGGTCAAATGAGGATCAATTGGGAATGAAGATAAGCCTCTCAAAATATAATGTAAGGAAATCAAAGGAATGTATGCAACTCATAGAAAGTGCATTTATACAATTTTCCAGGTCACCTGTTTCATAAAGCAAGGTACATCCATACAAAAAATAGAAAACAAAGTTGCTACTAAACACATATTTGAAGCATTTACACATAATTTGACACATATTAGACAGAAAGAGCAAAAAGCACCATATTGTTGAAAACAGCAACAATACTTAAGAAGACAAAGATGGCCTTTTTTTTTTTGACATAAGTCAGGAACCCAATTTCTGCTATTCTCTTTCTCTTGCACCTTAGAGTTAACATGGTCCATTTTTACCTGTCTTCACAATTTCTGGGTTATTCAGGGTGCATTGGAACTTTGTCATCATACTAAGAGCAGGCACTACTGACAATCTTGGCACTACTGACATTTTGGGCCTGGGCCTCTACCTATTAGATACCAGTAGTGCCCCCCCACCCTAGGTGAGGCAAACCAAATATTTCCAGACATTGCCAAATGTCCCCTGGGTGGTAAACTGCCCTCCATTGAGAACCACTGTGTTAACTCATGTGTTCTAAATTAGGGGTGGTATTGGCCCCATGGGTGTGAAAATTGGTTCTTGTGAGACAAAAAGTTTTAGCTAGTACAATGGTTTATAGCCCTCTAAAGCATGATAATACATAAACAAGTATACAGTGGATCTGTGGTATTTAAATTTCATTGGAAGAGGTCATCAGAGAAAAAGCATCTTCGAGGGGCTCCTTGAAGGGAAACAACAATGAAAACAAGGTGGAAAAACATGGTGCTAGATAATGCCCATATTCTTGTGCTATGGCTATCCCCCAGAATATTCAAGTGAGAATGGGATGCTTTTTAACACTGTACTTTTAACAAGTCACATGCTCAGAATGTGACTCATACCAGACTATTTTACTGTAGAATTGAAAAATTATAACAAATTCCAGAAAAGCAAGCTGGACTCCATTAAAGTAAGATTCACTGATAAGAAAAATACCAATAGTAGCAGTACTAAGGCTTTTATTGGTGATGATAATATTATATTATACACAATACATATTACATATAATAACTGAGAGCTAACATAGACTCAATGCTTACTATGCATCAGATTGTACCTTTCTTTCTTTTTCAGATGGTATATTTAATTCTTTATCACATTTATTTTATCCTTACACTACTGTCCCCATCTAAATCGGTGGGGAAACTGAGTAAAGAAGCTAAATAAGTTGCCCAAGGTCACAAAGGTAGAAAATGGTAGAACCAAGACTGTGGCCAAGACTCTCACACCCCAGAGCTCCAGTTCTTCACCTCACAGTACCTGCCCCCTCTTTTTAAAAAAGATTTATTTATTTATTTGGCAGGGGAAGGAAGGGAGAGGAGCAGAGGGAGAGGGAGAGAGAATCTTGAGCAGACTTTGTGCTGAGCCCAACACAGGGCTCGATCCCACAACCCTGAAATCACGACCTGAGTTGAGACCAAGAGTCAGATGCCCAACCAACCAAGCCACCCAGGCGCCCTAGGATCCACCCTCTAATTACATGCTGGCACCCTTAATCACTTTAAAAATATTCAGTTACAAATGCTATTACATAAAGAGCTCAGGGCTTCTCCCTGCCTTTATTCTTCAAGTTATCTGGCAAAGAGCTTTATCGTAAATTCTCAGTCTAACAGGATTATAACTGAGCAGAGTATCCTTACTTGTCCTTGAGTGTTTGCACGACTGTACTCTGGAGTGCGAAGAGTACCTGTTCGTCTGACTGCGACACATTGCCATTCCACCCCCACCATCACTACCACTTCACGTGCGTGTCACCTGAAGCTGGGGAGCTCTAAACAGAACAGCCACCACGCTGCCAAAATGTGCTCTGGACACATACAAGGCGGTCTTTTTTTTTTTAATTGCCAAAATTCTGCCTTTTGTGAATAACAACCCTTGCTCAAGGGACTAAAAAAAATATGTAGTCTGTGCATTAATAGGAAATAACTGGAGCGTTCTGCCATTATGTTTTAAAATATCGATCACAACATACCAAAAAGCTAAGTTGGATTTCTGGAGGGCAGTGACCTAGCTTTGGATTTGTGGAATATTAATTTTTATCTTATACACAGACTAGTACATAGCCATGGTTAAAAATCACAACTAACTTCTAATTATTTAGGGTGGAACTCCAAATCCCACCCTGGGCCTTTGACTTCTGAGCAACCATTTAACACCTCATGATCTCTGTCAGTAGCCTGGAGAAGTAAGGAACAAGTAGGTATTGATTGTACTTTCGTCACAGAGGTCAAAACACCACGCTGAACTTCAGGGGGTTTCTGAATCAATTTAGAATAAGAAACTGATTCATGTAAATGATTCACGGTCATGAAGTAACATCAGAAGCCACAGGCCAGAAAACCCAATGAATCTCATTACTTTATTTCAGAGGGAATTTCTTTTCATATGATCATGTGATAAATGTCAGTTTCTACCCTTACATAATTACAATGTATTCATATCTGGGAAATGCAATGCACTAACACCATATGTATTGTCCACCTATTTGTTTCATTATGCTATCTGGGTAGAGTTGGACAGAAAGAAGAAAAAAATAAAGATAGGAGCAGAGATCAATGAAATAGAAAACAGACAATACAGAAAATCAATGAAATAAAAAGCTAGTTCTTTGAAAAGATCAATAAAATTGACAAACCTCTGGCAAGAAAAAGAGAAGATACAAATTACCAATATCAGGAATGAAACAAGGAGTGTCACTATAGATCTCACAGACATCAAAAGGATAACAAAGCAATATTACAAACATAAACATGACAGCTTAGATGAAATGGATCAATTTCACAAACCACCACAATTCACCCAATATGGAACAGATAACCTTTTTTTAGATTTATTTATTTATTTGAGAAAGAGAAAGAGGGAGAGGGAGGGGGAGAGAGAGAGAGAGAGAGAGCAAAAGAGAGCATATGAGTGGGAGAGGGAGAGAAGGAATATCAAGCAGAATCCCCAGTGAGTGTGAAGCCCAAAGCAGGGTTTGATCCCACAACTCTAAGACCATGACCTGAGCTGAAATCATGGGTTGGACACTTAACTTACTGAGCTACCAAGGTGCTGCATGAAACACATCATCTTATTAGCCCTATAATTATTAAAGAAATTGCCTTCACAATTTAAAAATTTTTGCAAAAGAAGTCTCTAGGACTAGATGGTTTTACTGGAGAATTCCATTAAACTTTCAAGACGAATTAACGTCAATTCTACACAATGCCTTCCAGAAAACAGAAGAGTAGGGAACATGTCCCAGGCCAGATTACTCTGGAACCAAAAAATAGAGAAAGGCAGTACAAAAAAAAACAAAAAACAAACTGTAAACCAATATCCCTCATGAACACAGACCACAAAAGTCCTTAACAAAATAACAGCTAATAGAATTCAGCATTTATATAAAAAATTTATATGCCATAACCAAGTGGGGTTTGTCTTAGGATAGTAGGACTTGTTTAATATTTGAAAGTTAGTTTTAAAATGAGGGGGAACGGGTGCCTAGGTGACTCAGTCAGTTAAATATCTGATTCCTGATTTCAGCTTAGGTCATGATCTCAGGGTCATGAGACTGAGTCCTGTGTTGGGCTCTGCATTGGGCGTGGAGCCTCCTTGAGATTCTCTCTCCTCTCCTTCTGCCCCTCCCCCCACTTATATGTGCACTCTCTCTCTAAAAAAAAGGAAATTAATCAATGTGACCCAACATATTAACAGGCAAAACATGGAAAATAATATGATCATATCTCTACAGAAAAAAAGCATTTGATAAAATTCAACACCTGTTTATGATAAGCAGGGAGCCTGATGAGAGGCTCCATACCAGGACCCTAAGATCATGACCTGAGTCGAAGGCAGATGCCCAACCGACTGAGCCACCCAGGAGCCCCAAGACTAGTCTTTTTAACACATTGTGCCAGAACAACTGGATGGCCATAGGTAAATAAAATAAAACCTCAACCTAAACCTTGCATCTTATATAAAAATTAACCCAAAATGGACCATAGACTTGAATGTCAAGCATAAAACTAAAAAAGTTTCAAAATATAACAGAAGAAAATCTTTAGGACCTAGGGCTTAATGAAATGTCCTTAGATGTAACACCAAAGGCACAATGCGTAAAAGAAAAATAAATGATAAATGGCACTTCCTCAAATTTGAAACTTCTGGCCTATGACAGATTCTACTAAAGGATGAAAAGACAAGTTACAGCCTGGGAGAAAATATTTGCAAATCACACCTCTGACAAAAGACTGGTATCTACTATAAATAAAGAACTCTCAAAACTCAATTAAAAACTCCAAACAATCTAATTAGAAAATAGAAAGTTTGAACAGGTGTTTCACCAGGAGGAGATATATGAATGGCAAATAAGCACATGAAGAGATGTTCAACATCGTTAATCATTAGAGAAATGCAAATTAAGGCCACAGTGAAGTATTCCAACACATCTATTAGAACAACTACAATGAAAAATAGTGGCAACACCAAATGCTGGCAAGGATGCAGAGAAACTAGATCTCTCCTATACCCAGTCACATACATAGTCATTTCCTGATCTCTTACTGTATGCTAGCTGCTATGTTCTGGGTGCTATATATACATTACATCAATATTTCCACAACAATACAGTTATTTTATGTGTGTATATATACAGCTTCTGTGCCTCAGGGAGAGCTACCCAAACTTTCAGTTCTGGATAGGACAGTTTTAATGATCCAGTCCTGAAAAGGGTTATCAGAAGTGCAAAATGTCACAAGTCAACTCTCTCCATTCAGTGGGAAATTATTTGGTCCTATGTCTGTGGGGTGGAGGGCTTATAAACTAGCATGAAAAACAAACATGATTTAATCAGGCTCTGAGTCTCCAGGGTACCTACTGAGAGTGACCAAAGAGGAGCAGGAAGTAACTCTCAGAGGTCAATCTTGAGATTCTTAAAAAAAAAAAAAAAAAGATTTTATTTATTTGAGAGAGAGAAAGAGAGAGCAAGCATGAGCAGGGAGTGGGGGAGGGGCAGAGGGAGAGGGAGAAGCAGACTCCCCACTGAGCAGGGAGCCTAATGCAGGGCTCTATCCCAGGATCATGGGATCGTGACCCAAGCCAAAGGCAGACACTCAATGGCTGAGCCAACCGGGAGCCCCTAATCTTGAGATTCTTAAAGATTCTCAACTGTGTGCAGGGTAAGCCTCCTTTTTTACCCTTATTCTAAAACAGAACAAGGCTGGTACCATCTTGTATGCCAGTTCAGAGGCAAAAATCTGTCCATTTTGTTCTTCAGGTTTATATTCCCATGATGAATTATTTCTCTTAATACTACTCTTGAGATTCACATCAGGAAATTGAAATTCTAATCATCCCAAATTTCACAACACAGAGGGAGTCCCTGACACAGGCAAACTTCTTACAGGTGGTAAAGCACAGTAGTCAAGGCTGTGGATTGGGTGGCAAGACTGCAGGAGCCCAAATCCTGGCTCATCCCCCTAAAGCTATGTGACCTGGGCAAGTTATTGCTCTATGCCTCAGTTCTGTCAACTCTAAAATGGAGATGACCGTAGTAGTAGCCTCTTTATAGGAATGTTATGAAGTTGGTCTTAATGCAGGCCTGGCATTTTGTACAATGCCTGCATCACACAAGCGTCAGTTATTCTATGGCTGCCACCGATTAGCCCCACATAGGTTCTGCAGAGCCACAAGGATGGGAGCCCAGATATGGTGCCGCTGGCAGAGGCCAAGCCCAGGAATCCCTGCCTGCCATCAGTACACAAGTCCTTGATGGGGAGGAGGTGGTGGAAACTATTCTCTCAAATTCCAGTTTTCTCCCAAATTCCAGTCCCCCCACCCCCGACTCTAAGGATGACCACGAGGTCTGGATAGGCTCTCTCCTTCAAGCTAGGTATGCTCTGCGGTTGTCAGTCTGGTGCTTTCTATGCTCCAGAGAAGGAAAAAAAAAAAGCTAAAAGCCGTAGAGGAAGAGGAAAACACTGCCACCTGGTGGCTCTTCAGAGTATTCTTCCCTGCACCCATGCACGCCCGGAGTGTTGTCGCGCTCTGATTACAATCACCCTCTGCAGACCCCAAACTGAGGGAGGTGGTGGGAGCACCTCCCATGAGGCAGAACACATACAGTGAGGCCTGAAGGGGCTGGTAGAAGATCTGACAGCCTGCTTTCATTTACCATTCAGGGAAACTGAGGCCCAAAGACAGGAAGGGCTTGCCTTGAAGACAGCCAGAGTTAGGCTCTGTGTGACTCGTGACCTCTGTTCCAGCGTCATCTTTACTGTCAGGTGCTGGGGCTCACAAGCATACTTTGCAATTCAAATGCTCATAAAAAAAATCAACTTTAGATCAGTGCTCTCCATCCTGATACAGCTGCAAAACCACAGGCGGGGAACATCCAGGAGGCTGCAACAAATGAGGGTTAGGCAGGAAATGTCACCTCTGTGCACTCGAGTAAGAAGTAACAGAGCAGTTTCCTCCTAGAAACAAAACTCAAATTGCCTCTTTTTTATTTCTGGTGGATGAGATTATTTAGGAGGACTTAGTTTGGGATCCCTGGGTGGCGCAGCGGTTTGGCGCCTGCCTTTGGCCCAGGGCGCGATCCTGGAGACCCGGGATCGAATCCCACATTGGGCTCCCGGTGCATGGAGCCTGCTTCTCCCTCTGCCTGTGTCTCTGCCTCTCTCTCTCTCTCTCTGTGACTATCATAAATAAAAAGTAAAAAATAAAAAAAAGGAGGACTTAGTTTGATTTCAAAGGACTGTGAAATGCCAGACGTTGCCAGCAGTTATGTCCGTTCTATTGCCTGCAGCTTTAGGACTTTTGAATTCTTGCCCTAGTGTCACTGTTCTAGCAAGGTCTGGATATTTCAAAAGCCTTGTGTTTTCGTACTGACAAAACTCTTAATGGCAATCTTTTTTCTTGTGGAAAATCTGACATTCGGAATTTTTACATATTGTTTTTTAATTCCTCCCCCAAACCAAACAAAACCCCATAAAAACCTTCCGAACACTAGGCTGTCTCACACCTGGGTGAGCACAGTGACACAATTAGACATGAAACCGGCCATGGTTTCAAACCGACCTTATGTTAAGCCATGACAACATGGGTGTTGTGCCTCCGCCAATGACCCAGACAGTGAAGAAGACGATGAGGAGGGTGGTCGTGAACATCATCTGGCGAGCATAGGATGCTGTGTCTCGGATGGCCAGTGCAAATGCCATTGCCCCCCTGAGGCCTGCAGGGACCAAAGAAGAGGATTTGGTTATAAGGCCAAATGACAACGTGTCCTGGAATCCATTGCTGCCACTTGGAGCTAGTGAACTATATCCACGTATGGTTTGCAAGTCAAGTTGTCTTCTTCAGAAAGAAGAAACTTAAGGGAATATGGTTTTCTCCAGTTGGAAGTTTTCTTTTTGTAAAATGCCCAAATGTAATGAGAAAAACACTGCAGTACTTTGTATAGCATATTCTAGGATAATAACACTCTTATTACTGAAACAGTTCTCGTGCTTGTAACATGAAGTAAAAGGAAATGTAAATAAGAAATAACTAACATAAGCTCTCTAGGTCTGTGATCCAGGCACTCTACAGTCATTATAAACTTAAGTAACAGGCTAGGTATGAATATGCCAAATGCATATTTGTGGCCTGTGTGCCATGAACCACAGAACAATTCTGCATTTCCTTAGCAAAGCCACACAAAGAAGAAATGATATAACCTGATCTCCATCAAGGGTTGGAAACTTTTCCTGTAAAGGGTCAGATATTAAATGTTTTATGCTTTGTGGGGCAAGGGGAAAAAAATCAAGGATATGGTGTGGGTACTTATATATACAAGAAAAAACAAATTTCCACAAAATCTTACCAATGGAAGCCAAGAATAGAATAATAATAATGGAGTACAATTTGTTATAATATAGGTGCATTAATGAAAACAATGGAATTCTTTTGGAGGAGTATATTTCACTTAATTGGATTTCAGAGTTAGGATCCCCTGTCATCACATAGATTATAGATGTCCATCTGTAAAGGCCACTCTTAGCCATGGAGTATATGAAAATGGGAAGCAGCCAGATTTGGCCCAGGGGCTATAATTTACTGACCCTTCATTCACATGAATGGGTATTAAGATTGGGCACCAAATACTTGTGGTGAGTACAGCACAACCTATAGAGAAGCTGAATCACTATGTAGTACATCTGAAACTAATGTAACATTATGTGTCGATTACACTAAAAAACACCCTGAGGAAGATAAATTAAATTTGTGAAGCTAAGTATATTCATACTCACCTTTAATTTTGAAAGCATATGTTTTGATCTACATAGTGCAACACTCACAAAGAAGTGAAACAATAGTAAATATTTTTAATGTATATTTACAAAAGTTTGTACTATGTGAGTTTTCATATTTTCATCTTGCATCAGATTTTGTTACATTTAATGTTGTTTAAAAAAATATGCCCACACATTTTCATGTTTATCTAAGCTCTTCTGTTCCTTCTTCATACTATGATCATCATTTATTTTATAGTAAAGACTGAATCCATGGTCTTTAATAGATAATATGGTATAAGTTCCTGTTCACCGGGGGGAAGACTGTGTACATTTTATGAGAGAATGAGAAGTTATTCCCACTATATCCGTTTGTGTAGGTGTTCCTACCTTTCCTAATAATTTTGTAAATTCACTAATCTGAGAACTTCACAATTCACCACAGAATGATTCCAAAAAGTGACATGAAAAAACAGAGCAAAGGTAATGTTTTCTGTGCTAGTGAGATACTTATACAGATTTAGATTGCCTGACAGCCAGCTTTGTCAATGATCAATATCTAAGCCTCTAAAGGGATGTTGTCTCAAAGAAGAACACTTGGGGGTCAGAGAGAGACAATGTGTACTACATTTGTCTTTCTCTTATTAGGTAAGTACTGTAAGCAAAATGAAGGCGAAGCCTTGGGTTTTTCGTCACTTTGAAGAACTGAATTCCTTTCAATGGCGAGATTGCTCCCAGCAGGAAATAATTTTTACAGGAGATATCTTTAAACAGCACTGTGTATTTCTCAGTCTTTTAGTACAGAAAATAATGAACATATTTTAAGTTTGTCTAGGTGACTGAGTTATCTCCAGCTGGTCTTGGCTCTTTTCCGGCAGTACTTTCTGAATATGTAAGGAGGATCTTGGCATGCCCTCCTGAGAAACCTCTAAAGTTGCCCAGCTGCTCTTGAGTCAAGCCCAAACTCTTTGGCACAGCACTGGAGCTTCTCTGTGGTCCAGATTCCAGTAGTGGTTCTCAGAGTGTGTTCCTCAAACCAGCAGCAGCCAAGAATATATGAGAAATGTAAGTTCTTGGGGCCTGCACCAGAGCTGCAAAATCACTCTGGTGGTGGGGCCCGGTAAGGTGCTCTAACGAGCCCAACTGGTGGTTCCTATATAGCCTAAAGGCTCCCAGCAGCCTAGATGCAGTTTTCCCATCCAACCTTACCCTCTTTCTGCATTACCCTGCATGTCTTACATTGAAACCACACTGCTGCCCTTCCTGGAAAAAGCCACGCCTGGCAATGCTCTCCTGTTTCTCCAACCCACTGCCTCATGAGACCCATTTCTCGAAAGCCCAGGTTGAAGGTTACCCCCTTGGTAAAGATGACCCTAGGCCCTCCTCTTCTCCACTTTGACTTCATACTTTTTAGGTGCAATGTGTCACCCTCTCTCCAGAGACACTTAGCTCTTTGCACACCTGCCTCCCCCACAGGGGACTGTGAGCCCTGCAAGGAGGCTGTCTTTGTATCCTCCAGAACCCAGAACTGTGGCTTATAAAAAGAATGCTCCATGAACGTGTGTCAGAGTGAAAGGGACTCATTGTGGCAGGCTGCATGTTTAAGTGCAGATGTAAGCACTTAGTACACAGAGCAACTGCTTTGCCAAGCAGTGCCTATTGGTGAGAGTTAGGTAAGACTCTGAGGCCCCTGAGCACTACTATGTAGCAGTAAGAGGGCTGCTGCTCACTTTGCCTCTTGTGCAGCCCCTCTCCATCTCCCACACAGGACAGAAGTCCCTTGAAGGATCACTGTAGCCTTTTGCCCTACCATCTCCTCCCTCTGTTCCGCAAAGATGCTCTAACTTGGCTCTTGTCTATAATGCCTGATGCTTACCACCATCAGCTCATGCCAATTGCTCTCTCCTTCCTTTACCTCCACATACTTTACTGTCCTTTGTCCGCTCAGTGGCTTCTGCACACTTCTCAGCTTGATAGTGGAGGGGGGGCGGCATCTGGGAGATAGTGTAAATCAAGCAGAACTATCATAGCTGTTAACTTCCGGTTTGGGGCTCATCTTGTTTATGCAAGTGGTTTTTTTTTTTTGGTTTTTGTTTTCTGCTTCAGAGAAAGTTGGAGCTAGGAAGAACCTCAACTAATTAGTTCAATTTCATTATTTTACAAGAGTGGATACTGTAGCTGGGAGGTACTGAGTGACTTGGCCTGTGTCCTTTTTTAATTAAAGGCCTATCTCCTTTCTAATTCTAGATGTGGAGCCCTTCTGGAAGATTATGAATATCTACTAGAAAACTATCAAGTACTTTAAATACTTCTATATCTTCAGGTACTGTGGGTGGTAGAGATAAAAATGAAGATGTGTCTATTTTAGGGGAGAATGTTCACATTTGGTAGTATGGCTTGCAAAATCAATATTAACTCTGTTTAACTCTGTGTACGTTGGTCTACTCAGCACTGTGGGGGGATACTAAAGAAGCAGGAATTTGAACTTCTGTCTCTTTATGAACCTTATCAATGATATTTTAATCATGCTAACATTCCTGCCAAACAAAATGCATTTTCTTTACATTTATGTTTTTTTTTTACCTGAAAACATCATCATGTGTTGAAAGTTCCAGCCAATCTTATGCCTTCTGCCCAAGTTGAGGAAGAAGGAGAGCGGGTAGATGTGTGCAGCTCTGCCCAGAAAGATGGCAACCTAACCACCAGGTGGAGGTTAAGGACCCAACAGGTATCTAGAACGGTACCTTCCCCCAGCCTCTGGCAGAGAGGAGAATTTTAGGGATGTTGTGACACCTCATGACCAGGAGATAACTGCACAAAGAGTGGGAGGGTAGCACAAGGCAGCCAGGCTGTCTAGTCTCCCTCAAAGTGAGTCTCAGCCACAGGTGGGGATTCAACTAGCTAACTTTCTCAACCTCCTGGCTCCCAGAGGTAATTTCTAACCCATTAACTGTGTTGTTGGAACTTCTTGATGTAATTAGGCTGGTGTGGACCAAGTCTCCCGGTCTTGGGTCCAGAAAAAAGCACGGGTACCCCGGCAGGGGTGTGTGGGGGGTTGTTGAGAGGAGTAAACAGTGGTGTGGGCTCCATAAGAAGGAGAGTCAGAAGAACAAACGCCTAACCCCTGGGGTCAAATGGTAAAGAGCAAGTTTTCTGGGCAAGAGTTCATAAGCCTCGGTCGGAAGTAAACAGTAGGGGCCCCAAATGACCAGGAAGATGCTACGAATGAGAAAGTTAAAGTACTGGGTACACTTAAGGAGCATTCTTACTCCTCCCAAGACTCAAGGGGAGGTGGTGGCGGGGGGGGGGGGGGGCAGGGGGAAAGATCTCTCTCCCTGAGGGGCTCAAATGTCTTGACAAGGAAACACGGGAGCGTGGAAGGCAAAGAATTCCGGGAAATGGGGCATTCGTCAGTTGCTGAGCTAAGCCCAAAGCCCAGTGGAGAGAGCTGCAGGCTGCCCTGGTCACAGAAGGAAACCGCCGTGGGAGCCGCAGGGCCGGGAGCTTCCGGTTCAGCCGAGCACCAGCTGCCTCGAGCTACAGCTGCCTCAGACAGAAGCAAAGGCCCAACGGTCTTCTGCCTTCTCTGGGGTAAAGGTCTGCCTGTTTTTTCTGCTTTCAGCTGGGTTCCCTACCCCCCTTGGTTCTGTGTTGGGCTGTTTTGTTTTCAACAGAAGGAGACAGGTCATGCTTCGAGAGCACATTCTATCCCAGAAGCCACGTGAAGCTCCTCAAGCGCTCAGGGGCCTTCAGGATTCCAGAGGGCCCTGCTCGCCCTCCCGGCCAGGCCCTCCTCTGTAAACAAGAGCTGCTCTCTCGCTCTCCCTCACAGGATGCTGTGCTAGGAATGCAAATCCAGAGGATGTGCAAGGTCTCTCTGAATCAAAAATGAGAACACTGAGCCCCCAGATTTTTAGCTGTGAGTCCGGTGAGTGGGCAAGACCAACGAAAGAGCCCCAGCTGAAGCAGCTAACACTCTAACCGGAAGGCCTCCACATGGCAATAGGCCACTGTCACTATCGAGCTGGTTAGGGAATGCCACCTATTCCTGTACTGTAAATGAATAGCCCAGAAGAGAAAAACACTTCTTTTCTTCAGGTTAGCTGTGAGGCATCAGAAAAGGCAAGAGGAAATGCCCAGCAATAGGGGACGCCGGCTCAGCATTTTGAAATCCAGGCTGAGCTGGACTGCTATGGTTCCAAGCCCCAGAGAAGTTTCCTTCAATAAAAACAATAGGATCTGAGGCGAAGTGATCAAAACTCTGAGCTGGCAATCCAGTGCTGGGCATTCACATCCCTCCTTCCTCGAGAGAAGCCAATCCCCAAAACTGTGTCTTTCTTCCAAAAACTGTGCTCACAATGGAACTAAGTCAAAGAATCAAGTATTTTTCCACTTTGTCTTTTCTTCTTCTTCTTTTCTTTCTTTTTTTTTTTTTTTTTTTGGAAAAAAAGGAGTCTTTTCCACTGTGTTCTATAACAGCAGGGACACTCCACTGAAAGCATGTTCATTTGCCTGCAGGCTTCTCTGGGCAGCCTGCACCAGTGTGCGGTCTACAAGAGTAACAGAACCTTCAGGTCTTCCCAGTTGGGAACCTCCTGGATTGGAACTCAGGCAGCAATGAAATAAAAAAATGATTCCGGCACTCACACAGTTGACAACTTCTGCTAAGAAGAGTACTTTACAGGGCAAGTGGGTGGCTCAGTGGGTTAAACATCTGACTCTTGATTTCAGCTCAGGTCATGGGCTCGGGTCCATGTCAGACTCCATGCTCAGCAGAGAGTCTGCTTGTCCCTCTCCCTCCCTCTCTCTGCCCTTCTTCCTGCATGCATGTGCACATGGACAGACTCTCTTTCTCTAAAATAAAGAAATAAAGTCTTTAAAAATAAGTAAATAAATAAAAAGGCTGCTTTACAAAACAAGCTACCACCTGCCAAGCACCAGTGTAACAGAAAAAATACCTTACACAGAATATGCAGAAAAGGACAACCTTAGATCAAATGCTAACCCTTAAATCAAATATATTTAGCTTTATGAACCACGTAAGCCTTCTCTTCTCTCCTCATGAAAACACCATGAACTAGCACTTGGCTCAGTCACCCACCCAGAACAGAAATTCTTCTTATTAGAGTTTCCCCAGCAGTGGTCACCTGTACACATAGAAAACAGAAGAGCCGAAAAAGGATACAAAAGCTCCAATGATGAAAACAGGGCTGAAAACATGCTTCTGGAAGGTAAACAGCGCCAGGCCCATGTAGGAGAAGATGAAGTTCTCGGCCAGAAAGTGTAACACCTCAAAGAGCTGCACAGAATGGGAAAAGGAAGCCGTAAACCCTGTGGGTCTCCTCCCTTGAATTCACAGGTAACTTGTGAAGACCAAGGGTTCACTCTCACCTGCTTTGTTCGACTTCTTGATTCCACCGACAGATTGTTGTAGGTGTAATGAGCCTGTGTGATTCCACAGAAAAGGACCGCCACAACACCTGGTAAGAGATTTTTTTTAAAGAAAGTAAAAAAATCAGTGGGAAAAAAAAGCAGGAGGAAAAAAATCCCCACTGAAACAAAAGCTTAAGGTAGGCTAGCCCAACATATCCAACTTTCTGAATAGTTTGGAAAGTTCCCTATTACTGAATGCTCCCCCGCCCCCACTACTCATATCAACTTTTCCTTCTTTTCTGACTACCCTCCTTCAAGGTGAAGGTCCTCGACTTCCCTTCTTGCTCCACTTTTAAGGTCATTCTCTCCCCTCTTCTGCTCCTGCTGAATTTGGCACTTAGCTTTCATTCCTTCAAAGCGGCTGTGGGGGCACCTGGGTGGCTCAGTTGGTTGAATGGCCAGCTCTTGATTTCGGCTCAGGTCATGAGCTCGGGGTTGTGGGATTGAGCCCCGTGTCGGGCTCCATGCTCAGTGGGGAGTCTGCTTGAGAGTCTCTCTTTTCATCTCCCTCTGTTCCTACCCTCTGCTCTCTAGCTCAAATAAATAAATAAGTAAATAAATAAATAAATAAATAAATAAATAAATAAATAAATCTTTTAAAAAAAGAGAGACCATGAGGGCCCACCATATCCTTTTGTCATGTTCCTCTCTGTTCTTAGAAACCATGAATTTGATTGCAAGCAAATCCTTTTTTCTATTTTTACATGGACGTGGGCTTCAGACAAAATGGATCCAGAGAACTGTTCCATTTATCCAAGCCTTGATTAGCTTGATTTCTGATTAATGGTAACCATTATGTTGTGCAAGACAACTGACATACCTAGTCTTTGTCTATACATTTACAGAAAATTGTCAACTTTTAAAGAAGTGGGCTATTTTATAATGCTGCATGTAAAGATATGTTGCAGTATTTTGCAAAGAGGATGAAAGAGCTTCCCAACTATCTAGATTATGTATAATAATTGTACTTGAGTTTTCTAATGGAAAAATTCAGTGATTTTTTTTTGATGAGAGAAATGTGAGGAACTAAAACCACAAGGTTACTTATACCAGTAATACCCGAAACTGGCATCATAAGAACATAATATTGAAAAACAATGATTAAATAGACCAGAGACAAAACAAGGACAAACTGTGTTTACACTTATCTGAGTAAATACAAAGTTATTCTTATAAGGACACAGATTTCGTTTGTTATTGTTACTGCCTGTAAAATAAGTAGCAATCTAGGGGGATGATACAAATAAGTTAATGTATTCAGTAACCTCTGCAGCTAAACATCTATTTACAGTTAGAATGAGTATTCAGAGACAGCTGGCCTTGAAACAATAAATTTCATTCTTTAAAAAATGTGTGGCTTTGGGAAACAAAATTATTCTTAAAGCAGAACATCCCCCTTGCTCAGCAATCCTTCATATGGACGCTCTGTGAGCAGTTCATCAACTCGGTGCAGTGGTTCCATGAGCTCCCCTCCAGCTCCTAAAGCCCTGGATACAATGAAGGGAAGGGTGGCCCAGGCGAGTAAAAACCCACCTGTAAACCCGCAGGCTTCCGCCAACAGGAACGTGCTCCATGACATCAGGAAGAAAAGTGCGGTCTCCAGCAGGGGGAAGCAGTGCAGCTTGGTAAACTTGGTCACGTGGGCCCCCTGTCAAGGAACTTGGCTCCAGGAACCAGTTATCAGGCCCACCAAGAACCACACTTGATTAGCCCAGCACCCCCCTCCTTAGGATAGGAAAGGCTATCCTTTCCTTTCAACTCTTCTTTCAGGGGCCCCAAAGCTGCTGGCTAGTTTTTGAAGTAATGAAAACTAAGTTTTCTAGTAGAAAAGAGGTTAGCAAGGGCTGGGAGAGGGGAGAAAGGGGGAATATTGTTTCAGGGTTACATGGTTTCTGTTTGGGATGATGTAAAAGTTCTGGAAACAGACAGTAGGGATGATTTTTTGAAAATATTTTATTTATTCATGAGAGACATGAAGAGAGAAAGAGAGGCAGAGACACAGGCAGAGAGAAAAGCTGGCTCCATGCAGGGAGCCCGATGTGGGACCTGATCCCGGGGCTCCGGGATCACGCCCTTAGCCGAAGGCAGATGCTCAGCCACTGACCCACCCAGGAATCCCACAGTGGGGATGACTGCACAAACAATGTGGAGGTACTTCATGCCACTGAACTGTATGCTTAAAAATGCTTGAAATGGCCAATTATGTTATATGTATTCTGCCACAGTTAAAAAAATAACGTAGCATTACCAAAAACCATTTAAGAATGTACTTTATTTTTTTAAAAGATTTATTTATTTATTTATTTATTTATTTATTTATTTATTTATTTATTTATTTATTATAGGCATAGAGAGAAAGAGAGGCAGAGATTCAGGAGGAGGGAGAAGCAGGCTCCGTGCCAGGAGCCCGACGCGGGACTCGATCCTGGGACTCCAGGATCATGCCCTGGGCCAAAGGCAGGCGCCAGACCGCTGAGCCACCCAGGGATCCCCAAGCATGTACTTTAAATGGGGGAGTTATACAGTATGTGCATTTTACCTCAATAAAGCTTTCTTCAGAAACTGAGTTTTTAGGATGCCTGGTGGCTCAGCAGTTGAGCCGGGGTCCCTAGATCAAATCCTACATCGGGCTCCCCACAGGTAGCCTGCTTCTCCCTATGTCTGTGTCTCTGCCTCTCTCTGTGTCTCTCATGAATAAGTAAATAAAAATCTTTTTAAAAAAAGAAACGAAAAGAAACTGAGCTTTCTAAGGCAACTGGAAATAGGGGATCCCTGGGTGGCTGGGGATCCCTGGGTGGCTCAGTGGTTTGGTGCTTGCCTTAGGCCCAGGGCATGATCCTGGGGTCCCAGGATTGGGTCCCGCATCAGGCTCCCAGCATGGAGCCTGCTTCTCCCTCTACCTGTGTCTCTGTCTCTCTGTGTCTCTCAGGAATAAATAAATAAAATCTTAAAAAAAAAACTGGAAATAGGTTTTCCGTGCTCCTTGTAATGCCCAGGGCTCTGAGGGGCACCACCTTGGCCTGAGGGGGGACTGGCTGGTTAGTCCCAGCAGTGCTGGGCTCATCCTCAGCCAGGCCTGGGGACAGACAGTAGGTCAGTGAGACCCTGACCTCTGTGGGCTGCTGTGAACTTGAGTCTCTACAACAGATGCCTCGTGAATGCATAAGAAGTGAAGAAAGAAAACGTACAACTCTAGGGGCAGCTATGAGGTGCTCATGTCACTTCTGGGGACCAGAGATTCCCCTTGTAACACTGCCCCTCCCCAGCGGACCAGCATGGAACCACTTCATGAGTGCTTTCATGGGGCAGCACAAGTCCCCAGGGCATCAAAAGGACCTGTGTGGGGAGAGCAGCGAAATCTGTGCTGCCCAATATGGTAGCAGTTGAACAGTTGATTCTGAACAGTTGAAATGTGGCCAGTCTGAACTGAGATATGCTGCAAGAGCAAAAACATGCCACATTTCAAAAATTTCGTATAAAAAATGGCATGTATCGGATCACATTGATTGTATACGGGTTGCAGGTTGAGATGATGTGGCTGGCACCCATGGCTTCCATCACATTGCACTGGACCAGGGGATCTAAATGCCATTGCAAGAACATATGGCAAAGGACTCAGCGCACTTGTTGAGGGACTGCCTGCTCATTCCACACTTTGCTTTTATGTTGGTTGGTTGGTTGGTTGGTTTTTTAACGAAATATCATATGATCCTTCACTTACAGAAGGCCACCTTGCAGTAATTCCCACTGATGGATGGCCCCAGGTAGTTAATGGCCACATTAGCCCCTGTGATCTGCAACAGCAGGGGGCGGTAGCACGTTGAAGGCTAAAGTACTTCCCAGCCTGCTCCCTCCTGACCATCTCTGTGGTGGTCTCTGATCCCCAGCCTCCTCTCAGCACTTTTCACCCCTCTACAACCAATGTTCTCCCGGAACTCCCATCTCCCACTGATTCACAGGAGGAAGAGAGTGCAAAGGTCAGGTACAGAGCTAAGGCTAGAATCACATTCCCAACCATTTTCTCAGCCTCTTAGCTACACAGTGTTCTGTCATGTTTCACCAAAGGGACACGTTTCAGGAGCCCCCAGACCCCAATGGAACCATTGATTTAAGATTTGTTTCTGGAAAAAAAAATCACTTCTGAGAGGGAGAACGGAGACCTTGTTTTTACAAGTGTACTAGCACACAATCATACCCAGGTGGGGGCAGAAACCACAGAAAGGATATCAGAGCAGTCACAACGCCTGTCACGGCTCCCATGGTAAAAGAGCCACTAAATATACCTAGAAAAATGCCCACTGATTTAAAAAAGGCAGCAGCATCAAAGGCATGAGTGTTCAGCCCTGCTGGCTGGTAGGCAACTATAGACCTGTGATTTAAAAAGAAGAGAGTGTTAAAACAGACTGTACTGCCTTTACACCATGGTACCTACAAAGACTGACAAACATCAGTATCTACAATCTGCCAAGCACCTTCTGTGCTGTATTCCTTTAATCCGCAGCCCTCATGTTATGCTGGCATTAGCATTCAGATCACTGCCAAGTGCACAAAGCAACATCACTTTAGCAACAGAGCTGATAAACCTCATTTAGAAAAACACCCAGTTCAATCTTTAACACTTTTAAGATAAGCCTCTGCATTTAGCCCAGAAAGTTCTGGAAGCCAGAGGCTCTCTTCCCCGGGGCAGAAATACTGTTACTTACGAGGACAGGACAATGGCAACAGCATCATTTAGGACACTTTCTCCAAACAGAAGTGCATAAAGGTCCACATCTGCATGCAGTTCGTTAAATATTGCCAGTACGGTCACTAAAAATGGGCAAAAAAAGCATAGAAATTAGTTTCAGTTTAAGCCACTGGTGACAAATGTATAGAGGCAATTCCTACCTTTGGCGGGACAGGGTAGTTTAGGAGACAGAAAGGAAATGAAACAAAAATGACAGTCTTCCTGATCTGAATGAGGTCTGATATGAGGCTCGATTCTAATAACACCATGCGGCAACCCTGCACCTTCCACTGCAATCCTATTATACTTTGAAAATACCTCTGTTACAAGAATTTTAAAAAATCATCACAGTGAATGTGTTTTGGCTCCACTGGTGGGTTGAAATTTTTTTGAAGATAGAAACCCTATTCCCGCTACCACTGTGTTCCCAGAACCCAGCTAGGGTCAGGGCACAGAGAAGGTTTTAATAAAGGTTTGTAAAATACTGAAGGTCTTCTTTTATGACAGACCAGATATGATTCCACTTCTCATAGTATTCACATTTCTTAGACACTGAAAACAATCAGCTCTTATTCATATGATCAGTTCTTAAACTATTGGTCTCAGGACTCCTTTATACTCTTAAAAATTACTTTTCTGATTCCCACCAATAGCTGCTTTTAGTTTTGTGGGCAATAGCTATTGATATTTACTGTGTTAAATAAAGCAAAAAATTTAAGTATTTATGCATTTAAAATTAAGAATAAACCCCATCATGTTAATGTACATTATTTTTAAAAATATTTATTTGAGAGAGAGTGAGAGTGCACAAGTTGGGGAGAGGGGCAGAGGAAAAGGGAGAAGCAGACTCCCTACTGAGCAGGGAGCCTGACATGGGGCTCAATCCCAGGACCCTGAGATCATAACTTGAGCCAAAGGCAGATCTGTATCTAGCTGAGCCACCCAGGCGCCCTTTAACATACATATTTTTAATGAAAAATAATTCTATTTTCCAAAATAAAAAAAAATTAGTGGGAAGGGAGCCACTGTTTTTTACTTTTAATTTTTTTATTGGAGTTCAATTTGCCAACATACAGCATAACACCCAGTGCTCATCCCATCAAGTGCCCCCCTCAGTGCCCATCACCCAGTCACCCCAACCCCCGCCCACCTCCCTTTCCACCACCCCTAGTTCATTTCCCAGAGTTAGGAGTCTCTCATGTTCTGTCTCTGATATTTCCCACTCATTTTCTCTCCTTTCCCCTTTATTCCCTTTCACTATTTTTTATATTCCCCAAATGAATGGGACCATATAATGTTTGTCTTTTTCTGATTGACTTACTTCACTCAGCATAATACCCTCCAGGTCCCTCCACATCGAAGCAAATGGTGGGTATTTGTCATTTCTAATGGCTGAGTAATATTCCATTGTATACATAGACCACATCTTCTTTATCCATTCATCTTTCGATGGATACCGAGGCTCCTTCCACAGTTTGGCTATTGTGGACATTGCTCCTATAAATATTGGGGTGCAGGTGTCCCGGCATTTCACTGTATCTGTATCTTTGGAGTAAATCCCCAGCAGTGCAATTGCTGGGTCGTAGGGCAGGATCTATTTTTAACTCTTTTAGGAACCTCCACACAGTTTTCCAGAGTGGCTGCACCAGTTCACATTCCCACCAACAGGGCAAGAGGGTTCCCTTTTCTCCGCATCCTCTCCAACATTTGTGGTTTTCTGCCTTGTTAATTTTCCTCATTCTCACTGGTGTGAGGTGGTATCTCATTGTGGTTTTGATTTGTATTTCCCTGATGGCAAGTGATGTGGAGCATTTTCCCATGTGCTTGTTGGCCATGTCGATGTCTTCCTCTAGGAGATTTCTGTTCATGTCTTTTGCCCATTTCATGATTGGATTGTTTGTTTCTTTGCTGTTGAGTTTCATAAGTTCTTTATAGATCTTGGATACTAGCCCTTTATCTGATACGTCATTTGCAAATATCTTCTCCCATTCTGTAGGTTGTCTTTTAGTTTTATTGACTGTTTCTTTTGCTGTGCAGAAGCTTCTTATCTTGATGAAGTCCCAATAATTCATTTTTGCTTTTGTTTCCCTTGCCTTCATGGATTATCTTGCAAGAAGTTGCTGTGGCCAAGTTCAAAAAGGGTGTTGCCTGTGTTCTCCTCTAGGATTTTGATGGATTCTTGTCTCACATTTAGATCTTTCAGTCATTTTGAGTTTATCTTTGTGTCTGGTGTAAGAGAATGGTCTAGTTGCATTCTTCTGCACGTGGTTGTCCAATTTTCCCAGCACCATTTATTGAAGAGACTGTCTTTTTTCCAGTGGATAGTCTTTCCTGCTTTGTCGAATATTAGTTGACCATAGAGTTGAGGGTCCACTTCTGGATTCTCTATTCTGTTCCATTGATCTATGTGTCTTTTTTTGTGCCAGTACCACACTGTCTTGATGACCACAGCTTTGTAGTACAACTTGAAATCTGGCATTGTGATGCCCCCAGATATGGTTTTCTTTTTTAATATTCCCCTGGCTATTCGGGGGTCTTTTCTGATTCCACACAAATCTTAAAATAATTTGTTCTAACTCTCTGAAGAAACTCCATGGTATTTTGATAGGGATTGCATTAAACGTGTACATTGCCCTGGGTAACATTGACATTTTCACAATATTAATTCTTCCGATCCATGAGCATGGAATATTTTTCCATCTCTTTGTGTCTTCCTCCATTTTTTTCAGAAGTGTTCTGTAGTTTTTAGGGTATAGATCCTTTCCCTCTTTGGTTAGGTTTATTCCTAAGTATCTTATGCTTTTGGGTGCAATTGTAAATGGGATTGACTCCTTAATGTCTCTTTCTTCAGTCTCATTGTTAGTGTATAGAAATGCCACTGACTTCTGGGCATTGATTTTGTATCCTGCCACACTGCTGAATTGCTGTATGAGTTCTAGCATTCTTGGGGTGGAGTCTTTTGGGTTTTCTATGTACAGGATCATGTCATCTGTGATGAGGGAGAGTTTGACTTCTTCTTTGCCAATTTGAATGCCTTTTATTTCTTTTTGTTGCCTGATTGCTGAAGCTAGGATTTCTAGTACTATGTTGAAAAGCAGTGGTGAGAGTAGACATCCCTGTCTTGTTCCTGATCTTAGGGGAAAGGCTGAAGGGAGCCATTGTTTCACAGTTTTTCAAACTCTTTAATATCTAGATTAATGGAAGACAGATGGTTCTCTTATCTGCTTCCGTATTCGACCAACAGATAGTATCACATGTTATGCAGCCTCTGGAAAACTCCACTCTACTGCACACTCATGAAAAAAATTTAAGTAAAAAACACAAATAATGGAGGCACCTAGGTGACTCAGTTGGTTGAGTGTCCCACTCTTGGTTTTGGCTCTGGTCTTGATCTCATGGGTCCTGAGACTAAGCCCCACATCTGGCTCTGTGCTCAGTGGGAGTCTGCTCTGATATTCTCTCCCTCTGCCCCTTCCCCCACTCAGATACATGTTCTCTCTCAAAAATAAATCTTTAAAAACATACAAATAATGTATTACTATTATTATTAAATAAGTTCAGACCTTAATGTCCCTGAAAGCATTTTGGTGTTTCTCAACTTCAGTACTAGTTTAGGCCAGATAATTGTGGGTGGCTGTCCTGCAAGGTAGGATGTTCAGCAGCATTCTTGGCCTCTACCCACTAGATATGAGTAGCATTGCACACTCCTCACCAATTGTAACTACCAAAAATGTCTCCAGGCATTGCCAAATGTCTCCTGAGGGGCAAAGTCACCCACCCGCCTCGTGAAGAACCACTGTTGTAGATATATACATGTGTGCAGGCTCCTCTCTACGCTCACACCCAACTACCCTCTGCTTTGTTTGTTTCTACCATAAGGACTTTAAAAACTTGCCTCTCCAACTCCTCCTGCAGTGAGTGTCACCTCTTCCTGCCTGGAGGAGAGTGGAGAGGCTGGATGTAGCATAGTCATCTCGTCTCCACCGGGCAGCTAAAGTGTATCTGAAACACAACAGCAGGGCACTAGAAGCACGGAGTGCCCAGACACCTGATTGTAGCAGGAGCCGTAGCACCAGCTGAGGGCCATTAGCTAAGATAGACAGCTGTCTGTTTAAGTTCCTACTGGCCAGGCTGTTCTGCTTTTGCAACCAAAAGCATTACTAACAGACACAATTAGAAAACAGAACCAAACAAATATTTACCTTTGTGAGCTACTACAAGCTAACCACTCTTGTAGCCATCACCCAGTTTTGGAAATGGAATTTTGCCAGCCCCCTTGGAAGCTCACTTATATGTTCCATTCTAATTCCAAGCCCCTTCCTTCACCCAAATGTAACCACCAATCTGATTTTATAGTAATCTTCTTTTTCTTGCATTTCCTTATAGTTTGATCACCTGATGTATACTCCCTGCTTGATTTTATCCATTTTTACATCTACTTTTTGAAATATTTTTTTATATCTTATTTACTGCCTGGGTTCCTCGACTTGTTCCTTTCTATGAATACTTTCCATAATGCCTAGTGTTTACTCCTCTCATTTCTGAATTTTCCAATCATGATGTATACAGTTCTTTCATAACTTCTATCATTTTCTGAATTTCCTTTTTTTTTACATTTTATTATTTATTATTTATTTATTTATTTATTATTTATTTATTATTGAGAGAGGGGGGAAAGCACTGGGGGGAGGGGAGAAGACCAGAGGGAGAGGGACAAGCAGACTCCTGCACTGAATGTGGAGCCTTATGCAGGGTTTGATGCCACCACCCTGAGATCATGACCCCAAGATCACCACCCATGCAAAAACCAAGAAAAAAAAAAGAAACCAAGAGTTCAGTACTCAACTGACTGAGCCACCCAGGTACCCCTTTAATTTCCTTTAGCTTTCATTGGAATATTAGTAATATTCTGCTTTGGTGCCCTATTTTGCTGATATTACTTAATTAACTGCAACTTTCCTATGCTATTCAGAGGGGCTATCCTCATGGTTTCTTAAACTTTGCATGAAGTCCGATCTCAACCTATTGCTGCTGCTCATTTTAAGTGAGGTGGGTAGGGGGAAGACCTAGATCAGCTTTCCTC